CCCGCCCCCCAAAACAACCAGCATAATCCCGGCGTACAAAGCGCCCTTGGCTCTTGGCGCCTTCCGCCCCTAGACCCCCAAATTTCAGAGAGGAGAGAGCCGAAGAACTCCATTGCAGGGCTTTAAAATTACACCCTATTCCTAAGGAGAATGGTACCTTGACTCCCCCAGTGAAATACCCCCCCCCTCCGAAAAGAAAAACAGTCCAAGGCACATTAACGGGTTATCCCTACCTCGCACTCCTGGTTAATACCCTTGTAAAGTCCCACATGGTCTATAAACTTGGATTTTACAACTGGCATTCCATTTTAGCTCGAGAAAACTTTGAACTAGGCCTCCAGTTTCATTGTGTCGCAGCCCCAGCAAAAGCCAGAGAAGGGGAGGGGGGAACGGGGAGGGGGGGGAAGCAGAGGGGGAAGTGAGAGCGTGTGGGTGGGTGGGGGGAGAGAGAGAGCTGGAAGAAAGCTCGGCTAAGACGCCCTGATTTGTTTACTATTTACTGCGGAAGTCTTTTTCGATGGCCAGACGGGGGTAATTAAGGGAGGGGGGAAAATTAAGCTGTTTAGGGCCGCAGTCTTTATTACAATGTCTAGACTTGTCGCCCCCTTTGTCCAGACAAACCGCCGCAGTTACGGGATATTTAAGTGGGCTTTTTGACCTGGCCGATACCTACCTCATTGCGCCTAGGTTTAACCGGCCTAACCCTAGAGAGGTTTCCAGAGCCCTTATTTCACGAGAGGCGGATGTCTCTGAACGACCAGCCATGCTACTTGCCCCCCCCCCTCAGATCTCCCACGATACACCCACCACCATGAGTGGGATAGTGGGTCCCACGTCTCTTGGAAAGGCTGCTTTGGAAGGCAGCAGGTCTACCTGAAGGTCCCGCTGGCCCCCAACCGTTCTCGCCTACTTGGGAGGGACAACAGCCATCAAAGGACCGTCCATTCTAAGAGAACACCTGGTTTAGGCCTTGCGCGCTCCATCCGAGGAAGAGCGAAGGGCGCGTGCAGGCCTGGTATTCTCCGGGTTCTCCGCTGTCTCCATTTAAAAAAAAGAAGAAGGGAAAAGATGGAAGGGGGAGGGAAATGGGGGGGGGAAGAAAGCAGACAGTTGCCATCCAGAAGGTCTAATCTTATCCCCGCATCTCGCGTAATGAGAAACACTCCTGTTAACATCACCCCTTTCAGAAAATATCATGGCGAGACGGAAGACGGGTCTATCAAGAAGGCTAAACTCTCTCACTTCAAACCCCCCCCCCCGTTTCTTGCAAACTAAGCACATTTTTGTGGGTTTCCTCATTGCTGACAAATCAAACCAAAGAGACAACATCAAAGAGTGTTCATTGAACAGGATACTACTTTTAAAACCGTGCACAAAAAAAAGAAGAAGTAAAAAGTTGCCTTGCCCGTGGACGGGAATATAATTTGGTTGCAGCTTGTCCCTTCGCCCTGAAACACCCCTGAGACATCAAATGTGAGTCACACAAATATGCATCAGGAGCCAAGGGGGTCATACCCCCACACACAATTTTTAAAATTTGAATCCCAAGTTAAAGCACTGGACGAAGGCGTCTTCTTATGTATTTTTGTCCCTCGGAAAGCCAATCGGGTTTCTTACACGGAGGGAAGCGTGCGTGCGGGACTTATTGTGTACACCTAAAACAGCGCTTCTATCCAGTGTCCGGGAGTTGAACTTGTTTTGTTTAAAAGAAGGATTTAAGTACTTGACTTTGCATTTGCGCATTGTGCGGGGAAAGGAGGGGGGGGGAGAAGTCCCTTATCCTTGACATTACAGAAATTTCGACTTGGGGGCTCGTCCCGTCCGAGACGTGCTCCCTCACCACCCTTTGAGCGTCTTTGCAATATTGCTCATTAAGCCCCCCCCCCAGCATATTGCAATAGGATGTGGGGGAAAAGGGGGAGGGGAGAAAGAGGAAAAGAAATAAAAAGAGTAAGTACATTGGGAAAACAGACAAAGACATCTGGAGCCAAGCACAGAACTGTATTATTGGGCCAAGAAATTCCTATAAATTTAAATGCGATGATGAAAACAATGAACTCCACAACAAATGTCTAGTTAAATGCAGAAGGTTCATATTAATTTGGCCAATATCTCATATATATATCGACACACACACATAGCATTTTGGTATTTAAAATTCTATAGGAAAGTCCATACCACATTGACCGCAATGAGTTTTTTTTAAGAGGGAAATACTAATAAAATGGTCAAATAAAATCATGATGTAGAACAGCTTGAAATGTCTTTATTTGCCACAGAATTTCACAGAGTTTCCCGGGATTCACTCCTTTACATACACAAAGATTTTATTTTTTTTTAATAATTGCAAATGTTGTTCTTGGTGTTGTTGTTGATCTTGTTGCTGATGTTGGTCTCACGTCGAGAGCGAAGAAAATAATGCATTTTACATACTATTTCAGAGACAGTTATTGCAAATTTATCGTCGTCCATTCCCCTTCCTCCCTGTCCATCCCCCACCCCCTACCCTAACCCCCAGATGCAAAAAAATAAAAAATAAAAATAAAAATCCGGGACTGCATAGAATATGAACATATAAAAGATACAATGAAAATCACACCATTAGAGTGATACGGATTCCTGGAATACTTTAAATAAGTTTTCAAGCGAACAACAGTCCTTGGCATGTACAGCAGTGGAACTCTGAATGGAGAGCAGTGTGTGTGTGTCTCTCTCTGTGTGTGTCTGTGTGCACAGGTGAACACGTGTGGGTAGATCCACATACATCTGCATGCACCCTCACACAACGCCCTCCTCCCAGTGAAAGACAGGGAGTCTTTGGGGGGCGCTTTTGCGTAACCAGATCATCAGTCTGCGAGGTTCAGGATACAGCACTGTGGTTTCTTCCATCGGACATGGACTGGCGACGAGGCAGAAGAAGGAAAAATAATAATTAAAAAAACGTAATTCCCATTCTTCGAGACTAAATGTTAAATAAAAAAAATGCAGTTCATACGAGTCTCCGAGTCCTTTTAACGTTTAGGTCATGGGGGGGGAGGGGGGAAAACTTGTGTGACTCCTTATTGTGGTTAAGCCGACCAGGTCCCACACATTACAAAGATAAGGAAGGAAAAGGCTTAAAACTCTCGAGGGTCGCTGGTCGCCTCCCACAGTCAAAGCCGGGCTTGCAGCGCTCCTTCTTCATACACAGAATACTTCAACAAGCAAGAGAAGCATTTGTTAATATATTTTTTTTAACAAAATAGGTTCACAATAAGGGATTTCCAGAGAAATACTGCAGGCGGTCTCTGCTTAGTTTTTTTTCTTTCATCCTTCTGTTCTGAAACCAAATTTTAACCTGTCGGTCGGTGAGATTCAACATCCTGGACAGCTGCAGCCTTTTCTCTTTGTTGATGTAGACGTTGAAGAAAAACTCTCTCTCGAGCTCTCGGATTTGGAATTTTGAATAGGGACACCGCTTCTTTCTCGTGCGGGGGGTACCTTTGGGAGGAGAAGAAGAAGAAGAAGAAGAGAGGGGAGAAAATACAGCCAGGAGGGAATGAAAGTGACCAAGCCAACGGAAGAACCAATGCCCATCATTTTCCTCCCCCCCCCCATCACAG